GGCCCCGAGAGTCACTTGGGTCTTTTCTCTTCCTCTGGAGACCTCATTCCTCTCCGTGCAAAGAGTGGGTTTTCTAAAAAAGAACCGCTTGGGATAGATTTAGGATTATGACCTCTTTTGAAAACTCCATGGCACCTTTTCGAAAGTCATTTCCCCCTAGTTGTTAAGATTTTGCCAGTGTGACTTCTAGTCTTTGGGACACACAGAGGCCTTCTACTTTCCCTAGGCTTATTATTCCATGGCACTAGGGGAGCCAGTCAAGGCCAGGAAAAGGCAGCTCACAACCCCTCATCTATGGCAGGCAAATTCTGGATTAATGAAAGGGGGTCTGTAGTGACTGGCCAGAAGCCATTACCCTGCTATCATCAGAATCCACCTTCCTATTCCTTTTTATATACTTGAGAAGAATACACAGACACACACTTACATTACTATTACCACTGCCGTCTAGAAAATAAGCCATTCCTTGCCCCTCACTTCTCGTGAAGTATATCCTCACTTGTACCCAGCCCTAGTTCATGGCGTACAATTTTGCAAAGAGTCATTGCCTTCAGTAAGCCACTCCCAAGATGAGAGAGAGAGGAAGAGAGAGAGAGAGAGAGAGAGATCTTTTCATTCACCCCTAAACACCTTAGAGGTTGCTTTGGACATAGTTATGCCTCTTCCATTTTTCTATGCCTCACTTTGCTCCCAGACAAGCTTACATTGATTCCTTATCATGGTAATTTCACCCAACCCTTTCCTCTACCATCTCTTCACTTCATCCCTAAGTCTGAGGGTTCAGTTTCCTCTCCCCATATTTACAAACCCAGGCAGGTTGGGTCGCTGGTGTGATGCTATCTGGGACAGCCTTATCTAGCTACAAGGTATGAATCAGAGATTACACCACACAGGGCTGGTGCCAGCCAGGCGGGCTGCCATATTGTCAAGTAACCCAGTGGTTGAACCAGGTTGGGTTGAGTAATATGCACCAATGGGAAGTGAGTTTATTAATCATGCAGCATAGTACACTGTTGACGAAAGTATAACTCTGAAGGTCTGATTTGATTGGAGGAGGTGCAGGTGGGGCTGGATGCTAACTGTGAAGACACCCAGTGACGCGATCCTTCTCTGATAAATATGCACTTGAAAAACACAGAAATCTGGAAGCAAATATCTAGTTTAGCAAAGAGGTGGATTATATACTCAATCATTAGGACTTTTCAGCCATCTTGGATTCCCTTTGTTAAAAAAAGGATACCTCCTTGCGGCTATAGTTGCAGTTCGGAATTTCGAAAGTTTCATGAGGTGAGAGAAGGGAATTCAAGATGGCAGCCCGTGACCTAGAATTGTGTGGGTGAGGAAATGGAAGATTCCAGGCCGCATTCTCTTTATTGATCTCACACTTCAAAAACATTCTTTTCTAAGGCCACAGCCCACCACCTCCACCCGGCTCTGCCCTCAACTTCTTGGTAACTTCAGCCAACCAGAAATACCACCCACATTTTTCAGGGTGATGGGCCTGACTGGGGCAGCAAGAGCAGTTTCTGAGCAGGGATGCTGTACTCCATTTCTGTCACTGTATGGTTGCTTCAGGCGGCAAGACGCTGTCCCCCAGTTGCTGTGTGGTGCTTCATCTACACAGCGCAGTATCGGACACCTAGCGCCTGCCCCCAAGCTTTGCTGAGGCGAATGATGTGCAAAATACATGACAGAAAAGCCCAACTGAGTGTTTTAGAGGGCAGGTAGGAAGAGAGAGAAAGGACTGATCTGTCCAAAGGCCATTCTTGAACAAGCTGCAGGAGGATAAAGGACTGTAAAGACTCACAGGGAAATAAGGTGAAGGAAGCAGGGCGGGGCTGGGGACACACGAAGGAAGTGGAGGGTACGTGTCTCTTTAAGAGAAGCGGGAGAAAGCTCTAGGGCTGGCCAAAGACCTCAGTTAAGAAAGGGGAAGATTCTGGGGGAAGAAAGCTCATAGAGTAGGGGAAGCATCACCTCTATGGGCGATAGAAGTCGTAAGATGAGAGGGGTTAAAGCTATACAAAATATTCCTTGTACGTTCTCCAAATCCCAAACATTCTTTCTCCTCGCAGAAACATCGGATCCCTGGGGAGTTCATAAGAGCTGCTTTTTTTTCAGCCAAGACCCTCTTTCCCAGGCAGCTGCAAATAGTAAGGCCTGGAGGGTCCTGTCCTAGTGGGACTGAAGATGCATACTTTTTAAATCGGATTTTTCCCAATTATCTGACCGCAACAGAGCCTCCAGTCTCTCTGGTTATCTTGCCAACCTTGGAGAACCTTCTCTCAAGTCTCCACCTGTTTTTCAGGCTTCAGAAGCTGTAGCAAGAGCACTACTCAGTGTGGTTGTAGGGCCTCTAGAGGGTCCTGCTCTGGTGCTCCCTGTTACTGCGGGAGCCATAGTTCATGCACTAGATCCCCGCCTCTCTACCCTCAGTACCCACTAGAAACCAGGGAGAAGGGTTCCACAAGGTTCCGGTCACTAGTCCTGTTTCCCATGAGTTTATCTCATCTGTTTGCCTAACCTCTCTGGCAGGCTGAGACTCCCAGCAGTGTGGAGGAAGAATCCTATTCTCTCAGAACCAGGGTAAACACTAGACACGGGGTTTGAAACACCAGACCCCGCACAAAATTCTGACTGACTTCTAATAATGCCAAATTCCATGTTTCACATTGAGTTTTCAGAGCAAGAACAGCAAAACCTGGCTTAAGAACCTAGCAAACCAACCCTCAGCCGAAAACAAAACAAGACAAAAAACAGGCCAAACCAAAACTTTATACTATGAAAACAAGAAATAAAATAAGGAGATTTATAGGCCGGCTGATTGTCAGCAAACACAATATATTTACTGTATTAGCATTTGCTCACAGTGCAAATGGTACAACATTACACCATTTCAATATTTCGGTTTTTAAAAATGCTGTTTTCATTAACTATATTATATTGGCATAACAATGTGACAAAGGAGCAAATGAAATGTTGGTGAAGAATTTCACCTTTTCACAATATCAAGCATATTTTTTTAACCTTAGTATAAGGTACTATAAATCCAAGAAATAAAAACATCCACAAAATATATTACATCTGGTTTGTCTTTTTCTAAGTACTCAACTTTATACAAAAGTCTTTCAAAAAATATCATTCCCCATAGGTTTTCCTGTTTAAAACCTGATTTTTTTCTCTCAGTTCACATAAGTTAGAGTGCATTTTCTTTTGTTGTTGTTTTTTTAAAACATGCAGACATATAAAAAAATCTGGATAGCACAACCTTTTGGCAACAAAGTTATTTTTCTCTTAGTTTAAGCTTAAATGTCTGAGAACAGTTTTATTAAAACAAAGGAAAACTCAGATTATCATGCAGTGACATGCATAAACCAGAAGGAGCAAGGAAAAAATATTAAAGGATATTTGATTCCTCCTTCCAGCTTTGAAGTGACCAAAATTTTTGTTTTTAATAATCATCACATTATAAAAAGTATTCAGCAAAATACTGTCTCTGCAAAGAAAGATTTTACCCTTCAGCTGAAAAAATATGGGCCCTCCTGGCAAACTTCATCCTCTTCTCTCTCCTTCTACAAAAAGTCCAAGTACCTGGAAATTCACAATCCCCCTGCTCTTTGATTTTTTTTTTCTCTTTCACTAGACTCCTTTTAGTATTATTTATCCACCACCAAAGGAAACAAAAAACAAAAAACAAACCCAAAAAACAAAAAACAAAACAAAAAAAACCCCAATGCTTTTTTTTCTCTTAAAAAAAAAAAGTGGGAAACGCATAAAGTGACTTTAAAAACAGACATTCTGTAAACTCCAGACCTTTGTTCCTTCTCTCTGGGCAGCTTAGTGACCACAGGAGAAATAACGCTAAGAGGGAACAGTACATTCAGTCAAGACTGTGCTGGAAGCTGTGTCAGAGAGCAACCTTCCCTACTACTCCACTTCAAAAGAGTCACCCCTGTGTGGGGGAAGCGCTGGGGAAGAGGGGGTGCCTGAGAAGAGGTGAGGTAGGGCGGGGAGAAAGTGAGACTGGGTTGCGAAAAGATACGCCTCATTCAGCAACATGGATTAATGCAAAAATACCCATATCTTTAAGGAAAATTTGGACAAAGATGTGTGTATGTGTGTATACGCAGGTGTACATACATACATATGTTTATATATACATACACACACCTATGTAGATATAATCTCATCAGTTACATTTTTCATAAAAAATAAATCATTTAAAGCTTATATACCTACAAATTCTCTTTATTCCGGTGCACTGCACTGGATAGCCAAGTACCTTAGAGATATTATTTTGCTAGGAGTACATAGTGTGTGTGTGTGTGTGTGTGTGTGTGTGTGTGTGATATGTATGCGTGTGTGCATATACACATACACGCATACACACACACACCGTATACATAGATCTGTATTCTACCTGTTGTGTTGGCGATGACAACGAAAAATGAGCCTGCTTTCCCATCCATGGGGGGAAGGAGAAATGGGTATGAGTGAGTGAAAACAAAAAGATGGTGAAATGAGGTGGCTGGTTGAGGCCTGCCTTTCTGGAAGAAGATTTTGAAAGAGGTGGGAAAAGGCTTTAGAGAGAAGGGGGAGGAGGGGGAGAAAGCGCAGAGGGCGAGCTCAGGAACACAGATTTTGAAAAGTGGGGCTGAGGAAATAGATTTGTTACAAGGCAGGTTTAGTGATAGCTGTTCCTTCTCCCCGCAGATCAAACTGCCCTGAGGCCTAAGAGGGAAGCGCTCGGAAAAGGAGGGGTACTGAGGGGCCGAACCCCACACGGCGGTAGCAGCCCCGCGGCGGCGGCATCCGAGGCATTTCTGTAAGAAACATTCTTTCCGAGCAGATGGAAGACCGTCTCATCCGGCCACGTGCAGGCCCCCAACCTGGGACATTCCCCCAGCGGCCTGGGGACCCGATGTGGGGAAGAGTTTGGGGTGGACACAGCCCAGTTCAGCTCAAGAGTCACACACACCCACCCACCCACACACACACGCGTGCGCGCGCGCGCACACACACCCACACACCCACACACATAACACTCACGCGAGCACGCACACTCGCGCGCATCCCCGCACGCAGGCGCGCGTGCGTGCGGCGGGCAGCAAGCTCTGCGCTTTGGTGCGCTCCTTACCCCCTCCCCCTCTCGGGTCTTCGAGGGGGAACCGAGAGAGACGTGGGGGGAACCGTGAGGTGCTTGGGTCGGGCGAAGCTTGGGCGGGCCCCGCCTTCAGTCCCCCGCAGGTCCTTGGCGCGGCCCAGCGGCCCCTGGATCAAGACGATCCGAACTGAACAAAGCGGGCTAGACGCCACCTTTCCGCCCCCACGCCTTGGTTAGGGGGGGCAGCGAAGGGAGGGCACCTCCTGCCCTGGCCCCCGACCGTTGGCCGGTGTGAAAGGGTGGAAACGGGGGACATCGAAGGGGAACAAGGGACCTTACGTCCATGGAGAGGCCAGGGCGCGGCCCCTGCGCCTCCGTGGCTAGCTTTCCCGCTGCTTTCAGGCGAGCAGCTGGGAGACACTGCAGGGGAAAAGTGGGGATCTGGGGGCCCGAGCCTCAGGCGCAGGTGGTGACCACAGGGGCCAGGGACACGGGGGGCGCCGAGGACGCAGAGGGCGCACCCCCCTTCTCCGCCTTCTTCTCTTTTTGCTTGAGGTGGATCTTGGCGTGGCGCTTGCGCTCGTCGCTGCGCGCAAACTTGCGCCCGCAGAACTCGCAGGCAAAGGGCTTCTCGCCCGTATGCGTGCGGATGTGAGTGGTTAGGTGGTCGCTGCGACTGAAGCTCCGCATGCAGATCCGGCACTGGAAGGGCTTGTGGCCCGTGTGGATGCGCAGGTGCCGGGTCAGCTCGTCCGAGCGACTGAAACGGCGGTCGCAGCCCTCCGCCGGGCACGCGTGGGGCCGCTCGTGGAGCGGGGTCTTGCTGGGTCGGTTGGGATACTTGCGGGGCCGGATGGGCTTGAGCGTGAGCGGCGGCTGGGGCAGGCTGCCAAAGCCCGGGTGGATCTGCTTGTCTTTGAATGCCTTGATGGTCTCCAGAGGGGTAATAGGGGGCGGGTTGACCCGGATGGGGTCCATGCCCTGGAAGGGCTTGTGCTCCGGAATGGAGCCCATGTCGTTGGGGTGGTGATATAGGTTGTAGTCAGGAATCATGGGGAAGAGATTGCTGTCCAAGGCCGGCTTGGCCGATTGGTAATCCTGGGGGGAATAGGCGAGCCCGGGGTTGCCCTGGGGGTCGTGGAAAGACACAGGCTCCGAGTAGAGATCACTGCAGTTAGAATAGGGGGGCAGCGCCGGATACATGGCCTCCACGTCGCCCTGCGGCGGCTGCACCATGCTGGCCGTGGAGGTCTGCGTGCTGAGTGCCCCTGAGGCCGGGGGCACCCCCAAGATGCCAGCGCTCATGAGGCTAATGATGTTGTCCTGACACCAGTTGGAAGGGGAGTCGAAGGCGAACTTTCCCAAGTAGGTCACGGTCTTGTTGCCGGGGGCTGGCTGGAAGGAGCCGGAATAAGAGAGTTCCGGGTTGGGCTTCTCGTTAGTCAGACCGATGTCCATCACATTCTCTGCGGAGAGCGGGGAAGAGAGGGGAGGGGTGAGTGAAGCCGAGCCGGCTCCCGGGCCGGGGCCCCCAGGTCCTTGCCCAGGTGCGGAGGGTGCGGCCGGGTGAAGTGAACAGCGCACGGGGTAGGAGGAAAGCTGCGCCCGGGCGCAAAGCGGGCGGTGCCGTGCTCCCGGGCGCAACCTGGATACAGCAAAATACTACGGATCGGGGTGTGGAGTGGCTGCTGCACACACACCGCACACGCCGCGCACACACTCACGTATCACACGCACACACACACGCGCGCACGCGAGAAGCATTGTTGTTGTTTCCGAGGTGGGGCGGGCAGGTAGCTGCAGCTACAGGTAGTTTCAGACCCCGAGCGCGCCGGGCTCTCGCTCTCCGGCGCACACAACTCGGCCTCTTCCCCTAGCCCTGTCCGCGCCGGGACGCCGCGCCTTTCCTGCCCCGACGAAGCCCCCCGTGCGCAGCGCGCCCGGGTCGCTGACCCGGGGCGCTCCGACGCTTTGTCCTCTGCGCGCAGAGGGGTGCTGCCCGCAAAGGGAGCTCTCCCGCCGCCTTCCCGGGCCCCAGCCTCCGCCAGGCCTGAAGGAGCTTTCGGCTCTTGCTGGAGGGGGAAAGCCCAGCCTCAGCGAGCGAGGGTGGAGGGCGGCGGAAAACCGGCCCGTGTCTCCATGGCGGGAGTGGCCGCTCTTCCCAAGCTCCACGGCCGGGGGATCGCCCCCCGTGACGGCCCCCGCGCGGGTGGACCCCCTCCCTCTCCCCGCCGTCCCCACACCCCCACGGCTTTGCTGAACGCCCCGGAAAGGCAGCGTCGCAGTACCTCTCCCACCGCGGGGACTCCACGCCGCACATGGCTCCATCCCGGGTGGGAGGCTGAGGGAGTAAGGGGGGGAGAGCGCGGGTGAAAGGGACGCTGGGCTCCTCCCGGGAAAGGGGGCGACAGCACCACGCCTTGCGCGCAGCCTGGCGATCGCGCCCCCTAAGTGGAGAACCCCAGAGCCGCTCGCACCTACCTCCCTCTGGTCGGCGGCTGCCCCCACCCGGGAGAACCGAAGCCTCTACGGTGGCGTCGCCAACCGAGCCTTCCCGATCGGGGAGGGCGGGAGGAGTGGGTGGGAAAAGCAACTCGCCCCCCGGAAAATTCCCAGCGCGCCCCCATCTCTCCATCCATCCATCCATCCATCCATCCATCTATCCATCCATCCATCCATCCGTCCATCCATCCGTCCTTCGCTAGCTCGTTCCCTCCTCTTCCTCTCTCCCTTTCCTTCCTCGCTGCCTCGCCGCCTCTCCGCCGCCCTTACCTGTAGCCATCTGATTGTAATGGGCTACCGAGTCGCTGCTGCCGGAGAAGAGGTTGAGCGCGCTGGGGATCTCCTCGGGGTACAGATTGTCAGGCAGTTGGTTTAGCAAACTGCTCATGGTCACCGGCAGCTTCTCGGCGAGTTTGCCGGTCATAGCACTCCCGAGCTGCCGCCGCCGCCGCCGCCGCCGCCGCCGCCGCCGCTCGCTCCTAACGCAGCTTCCAGGCAAGCGGCATCCGAGAGGCGATCCGTGGTGCAGGGGAAAAGCATGCGAGAGGGAAAG